ATGTTGGCCAGGCTGGTCTTGAACTCCTGACCTCACGTGATCCAATCATCTCTGCCTCCCAAAGTGCTGGGATTACAGGCGTGAACCACTGCACCCAGTCAAGAGAAGGTTTAAAGTGGTAAAGGGAGGAATGAGGATCATGGGAAGAGAGAAGTCTTAGATGAGCTGGTTTAAGGAGATCTCATGTTTCCCAAAGAGGCCTTTGAGGTTCTATGTTACCTTTAGTAAATGTTGCCAATTTTGAAGCTGTGAAACTGAATTAGTGCCATAATGGCATGTACTCAGTGGGGGAAGAGGAGGGCATCTGATAGAGCAAAAGTTATCCATGGCATTAGTGGATAGTCAGCCCAAAGAAAAAACTTTAAAGGAGCCAAGAAAAAGTCCCATTTGATTAATTCCTTTGAACAATCCCCAGGTCAAGGAGCTGAGAAAAAACACAAGTCTCACGGAGGGCCAAAGCATTTCTTGGCACAAAACAATCAAAGTAACTCCTTACTGTTCTTCAACAGACAAGATGCCCAGAGCACTGGTTCAAGACTTGAATTCACCAAAGAGTTCTCAAGTCCCCAACATGGCGCCTTTACCTGGGTGGGGCTGGTGGAGGTCCCGAGGTGAGTTCCAATCTTGGGTCACAGCACCAAGAACTGTCAAATAAAAACCAAATCCAGACCTAGGTAAGGAGAAACTTTATTTAAAAGGATTATTGCAATAGGAGAAGAGAATGTTGCAATAGGGGAGGGACGGCATTCTAACAGAATGCTTCAACTATAAGATCTGCAAGCTTTTGAAAGGTCAGGCAGAAAAAGGCTTTTCTTTTACTGAGAGTAGTAAACAATGTTAAAAAGAACCAGTAACGGAGTGGGATGAGCAGGTGGCATGATGAAGCAATTGATCAGGACAGTTTCTTTGTGGTCAGCTGGGAAGGGGCTTCTTGGGAGGGGATGTAATATGGTTTGGCTGTGTTCCCACTCAAACCCCACCCAAATCTCATCTTGAATTGCAATCCCCATAATCCCCATGTGGCAAGGGAGAGGCTCGGTGGAGGTGATTGGATCACGGGGGCGGTTTCCTCCATATTGTTTTCATGATAGTGAGTGCGTTCTCAAGAGATCTGATGGTTTTATAAAGCTGTTTTCCCTGCTCTTGCTTGTTCTCTCTTACCTGCCACCATGTATGATGTACCTCTTCCCCTTCTGCCATGATTGCAAGTTTCCTGAGGCCCCCCCAAGTCATGCAAAACTGTGAGTCAATTAAACCTCTTTTCTTTCTAAGTTACCCAGTTTCATGTATGTCTTTATAACAATGTGAAAGCAGACTAATACAGGATGTTAAGGGGCTTATTCCAAATTCCAGTGCTGGTTTAGGCTGAGAATAGATTAAAGGGCAAAGACCTGGGAGAAGGAGAAAAGCCTGAGTGAAATCTGATCAAATAAGGGATTTACCCAGGCTGATCAGTCGGGGCAGGTGGTTCAGCCAACCAGTTATGAGATAAGAATGGAAATGTGGAGGGCATGTCTATGGCCTTCTCACAGGGGTGAAAGGATGTTATCCATGATGCTTACCTAAGTCATTTGGGGAAAGGTGATTCTGTGTAGTTAGTGGTTTCTCAGAAAATAAAGTGGGGAAGGGGATCGTCACTGTTCGCCAATAACACAAAGTATAGGTCAATTGACACCATCTTCTTATTTTTTAAAAAAAATTCTTATTTATTTATTTATTTATTTATTTATTTTCAAGATGGAGCCTCGCTCTGTTGCCCAGGCTGGAGTGCAGTGGCACGGTCTTAGTTCAATGCAACTTCTGCCTCCCAGATTCAAGCGATTCTGGTGCGTCAGCCTCTCCAGTAGCTAGGATTACAGGTGTTCGCCACCGTGCCTGGTTAATTTTTGTATTTTTAGTAGAGACGGAGTTTCACCATATTGGCCAGGCTGGTCTCAAACTCCTGACCTCAAGTGATCCGCCTGCCTCAGCCTCCCAAAGTGTTGGGATTACAGGCATGAGCCACCACGCCCAGCCTCTGTTCTGTTATTTGATTGTACTTGTAACTACAGTTTTATGACATTTTAACAATGTATTGCTATTGTATTAATCATTACTATGACAGCTGTGTTCATCAGACACTTTCCCACCTCTATAATATTAGGAGAGTTGGATGCTTGTGATCATGAGTTTGCTCTTTGTGCTGGTTATTACAGTATGTCTTGGAGTTCAAGCTCATGCTTCCATCCTCTGCTCTGCGAGCCAGGGCTGGGGCTTAGCAAATCACATTTCCTGTAAGGTTTTACCTATAAGGGGCGTTTGAGAATAGGGACTTGCGACTTCATAGCTGCTTACTGTTCCTGTCCATGCTACCAAGCAGTGGCTCTTCTTTCTGGCTGTTGCAGCAGCTGGTTCCCGTTTCTTAGTGTTTTTTGTTTTATTTTGTTTTAAATCCATCCTCTCTCATTCGGCCTCAATGTTTACCTTCAGAGATAAGAGCACCAGTAGGGTACTACCTGATCCTTTTGAGGTCTGACTCCAGCCAACCAGCAGCCCTCTCTGGGCTCTTAGGTTCTGATAACCCCACCACTTCCCCTCTCCTGGCTCTGTGCGTGGCAGCTGCTTCCTGCAGTTACTCTCTGTTACTGCAGTGGTTTTGCCTTGCCAGTCTTCATGACCTGTTTCAGTAATCCCTTAAATTCTCTGTAAAAAGAATTGCTGTAATTTCTGTTTTCTGACTGGGCCCTGACTGACACACCTCTAAGCCTTCCAGAAATACCTTCTAAACTACTTGTATAGATTTATGGGTATATGTTATTGCAGGAATTAAAAATAAGTGGCTGGGCAAGGTGGCTCACACCAGTAATCCCAGCACTTTGGGGGACTGAGGTGGGTGGATCGCTTAGCCTGGGAGTTCAAAACCAGCCTGGGCAACATGGTGAAACCCATGTCTACACAACATACAAAAATATCAGCCGGGCATGGTTGCACACACCTGTAGTCCCAGCTACTTGGGATGCTGAGATGGGAGAATCACCTAAGCAGGGGGAAGTTGAGGCTGCAGTGAGTTGTGATTATGCCACTGCCACTGTGCTCCAGCCTGAGTAACCGAGTGAGACCCTGTCAGACACACACACAAAATGGATTACACTTACGGTATACAGGCAGTATCCAACTGACAAACAAGATGTATTCTAAAAGTTAATTCATAAATCTATTGCTTAGCCACCACCCCTGGCTGATTTATCTATTTTTATTTTGTAGAGGTGAAGTCTGGCCCAGCTGCCCAGGCTAATCTCAAACTCCCAGGCTCAAGTGATCCTCACACCTCAGCTTCCTAAAAGTGTTGGAATTACAGGTGTCAGCCACTGCAGCCGGCCAGCTATACTTTATTCTTAATTATTTAATTAATTAATTTAAAAAAGCCTCGCTTTGTCACCCAGGCCAGAATGCAGTGGCATGATCTCAGCTCACTGCAACGTCCACCTCCCAGGTTCAAGTGATTTTCATGCCTCAGCCTCCCAAGTAGCTGGGATTACAGGCACACGCCACCGTGGCTGGCGAATTTTTGCGTTTTTAATAGAGATGGCGTTTCGTTATGTTGGCCAGGCTGGTCTTGAACTCCTGACCTCAGGTGATCCGCCCACTTAGGCCTCCCAAAGTGCTGGAATTACAGGCATGAGCCACTGTGCCCGGCCCCAGCTATACTTTAAACTTATGTTTAGCAATTAATATGTCAGTATTTTCACTTATAAAGGACTCAGACATTTAATGAATATCTATTACTTAATTTATTATGTTTGAGATTTCAAGTTACCAAAAAAGATTTTTAAAACTATTTTAAGTAAATTTTATAAAACATAACTATTTTTTAAAAGTTCATTTATAAACTTTTATTCCATTTACATTACCTAATTCACTCACTCTTAACAATTATGCTTGACTTGCTCATGAAAATTTCATGAGACATTAAACAGAGCTAAGCCATTGACCGCGTTCAGGAGTTTTCCCGAAATCATTTCCTCTCCCCTAAATTGTTCCTCCCCAGTGAAGAGGGAACACAAGCTCCTAAAATCTCAGTTTTTGCTGGGGGAGGCAGAGGGAATGTTAATTTTTCTTTCCTGCAATACCCCCCGCACGAAATCTGCGTACTTTTTCTCTTGTTAATCCACCTGCTGCCAATTTATTTCATAGACTTAGTTATCCAATCCTCAGAGAGTAGCGGGCAAGTCTTTCTTCCCCTACACCCTCATCTTACGTTAATTTTTGTTTTCACATCAGGCAAGTATCAAAAGTATCGCAGTCTAATGGCCTCCGAGTTAGAATTTTTTAAAACAACATAGAAACAAGACCTTCTGCTTTCTCGGAGCTAAAAATCCAGTGGAAGAAGACACAGACACAATATTCCTCTTTTTACAAAGAGAACTCTGTCAAACACAAGCTCTGTGCTATAAAGGTGGAAAAGCTTTTTTCCTACTTTCCACAGCACTGTGGATTGTTCCAGTCTAATTTGATATTAATTTTTATGTGGAAATGCACATTAATGTAATGAGTTCTTGTTTTTTGTGTTTTGTTTGCTTTTTGTTTTTTTCTTTTGTAATGAGTTCTTAAATGCTAAATTTAGGAAGCAAGGCTCCTTAGGGGAAAAAAAAAAACCCACCTACATGGTCATGTCTAAACTTTGCATATCAAGACCTTGGAATGTAATTATATTGTTGTTTAGAACATATTTTCATGTTTAAAATCAGAAAAGGCAGCATTTCTCGAGTTTCCTGCTTTCCAGGAAGGGGGGCATAAAATGTTTAACAAGACCCTGCTCACATTCATAGGGCAAAGAATCAGAGCACAGTGAGGAGGAGGAGCGAGGAAGCACCGGGACCGCAGAGCTCCTTCCAGCCCACAGCAGTGCCCAGAGGGCGCCCTCGCCTCGAGGTGGGAGCCGCGAGTCCCGGCGAGTCTCCAGCCCTGCACCAGCGCAGGTGGGCTAGGGACTGCTGGGCGGGGCCTAGAAAGGCGGGGCCTCTGGGGGCGGGCCCCGCGGGTGCCTGGGCTGCAGGCGCAGCTTCCCAGCGCCTAAAGCGCCGCGCTGGGCTGGAGCCTGCCGGACGAGGAGCGGCGGAGCATCTTCCTGCGCCTCCGGGCCAGACGCCCACTCCAGGTAACCGACTCCCCCTCGCGCTCCCCTGCCCGGCCGCCCCGCGGTGGGGAGGGCTGGGAAGGATGGGTGGGAGGGAGCCGGCTCTCAGCCAGGGCCCCGTGACCCGGGGCAGGCTGGGCTCCCCCGCGGGGGTGGAAGCAGAGCGGGTGCGCCCGGTGACGGGATGGAGCGGCGCGTCCTACTTCCACTCTCATTTTCCGTCCGCTCAGTGGGGCTGGCACGCCGGTGCCCCATGTCCCCTGAAAGTCACTTTCTGGCCTTTTGCCCCTGGTCCTTGTAGCTTGGACGTCGAAGGGGTTGGCTGCGGGCGTGGACAAGTAGGGAACGAACAGACTCGCTGCCATCCCTTGGGTGCCAGGGGATCACTTCACTGAATCCTAACCCCAGTCCGGCTAAGATGCATTATCACCCCTACGTTACTTATAAAGAGTCCAACGCTAGGATAGCAAATGACGCGCCCTGGAGCAAACTACTCCTAATAGAAAGAGACATTAGTTGAGGTGCTCCGAAGCCTCTCTCCCTTCCTGCTCCCCCGCTTTCCTTCTCGCGGCAGTCTAGGAAACTCGCGCGCAGGGCGCAGGGTCTGTTACGAAAAAAGTGATTCGTCTAAACGCATTTCCCTCCTAGGTTTCTTTTCTCTTCCCCCCTTTCCCCCTCATCTTTTTCTTAAATATCTCAGGCAGATTCCTCCAAGTTTTGGTTATTAGGTTTTGAAATGGAAGAAGCCCTTGCTTACCGCTCCTTTTCTCCTGGTAGCGCTTTCTGCGCAGCGCAGGCACCCTCGCCTGTCACGCCTCCCTCCCCTCTTCCACTCTCCCAGCGTGGATGAGGGCGCCTGCAGATCCCGGCTTGGGCACGGGTTGCCCAGGCCGAGGTAGGTTCTGTAGGCACCTGGCATTCTGTAGATGCATATAAACGTTGCCCTGTACACCCTTTACCTTGTTGTTTCTTTCTGCAGAAAAGACAGTAGTCTTTTTACACATGATGGGGCAAGAGGCCAATTGGGAGGATATACGGTGTTCAAAGAAAGCCATGGTGCCTTGAAATGAGAATGCGGACACAGCTTTTTGTGGGCTGAATTTGATGAGTGGGAGGTGAGAGACGTGGTCTGGAACTTGTCTCTTAGTCTGGCTGTGGGCCCCCTTTCCAGAGCTGTTCTCAAAGGCCGGTTTGTTTTATGGAGGGGAGGAGGAGGGGTTAATAGCTTTTAAAGATCAGTGTAAATTACCTGCTAGGAGCTTAGGCAATTCCAGGCAGGCCCCCCTGCTGGAGGCTTTAGTAGCAGATTTCAGTGCTGGCTGGGAGGAAAACTCAGACTGTGTAGATATCTTGTTTTTCTTAAAGGCATTTTCTCAGGCCTTTAAAATGGTAGTTTTGGGAAACTGATTTCTTAGAAATGGCAAACTCGTTTATTTTAAAATACGTTATACCAAACTCTGAATTTACTTTTGAAAAGTGTTTTATTGGTCGAGAGGTTGATGCTGTTTCCATTTTCTGATGAGGGTTTGAGGGTCACTGTCACCTCCTCTGCACATCCTTCAACTTGGCCCTGTAAAGGGCGTCCTTAGCCTTGACCCCAAGTTTGTACTAGATTCTATCCTTAATTAATTATAGTTCATTCTGGATTAATGATAGCAGTGCTTCCACTCACTTTTTAAGGAGTTAGGACTTTTCCATTTGTAGTTGAATTGCTTCACAGTAAGAAAAATGTTTTTCTCTAAAACTGGGATCACAAAATCAACTTTATCCACAATGACTAAACAGGTAATGCGCAAGAGTGCTTGGTTGGGCCCAGGTGACTGCAGAAGAAACCTGCTAAGTCTGGGTGGATATTGACCATTCCCACCCAGTATCGATGCAGGAATTCCCAAGCAGCCATGCAGTGTAGACAATTCTTCTTCCTTTTTTTTTTTTTTTTTTTAAGAGTAGCTGAGATCTTTTACTTAAAAAAAAATAAAATAAAATAAAAATAAAGCCTGATTTTAAATATTGGCTCAGATTTTTTCCCTTTTAAAACACAGAGAGGGCCAGGTGTGGTGGCTCATGCCTGAAATCCTAGTACTTTTGGAGGTCGAGGAGGGTGAATCACGAGGTCAGGAGTTCAAGACCAGTCTAGCCAAGATGGTGAAACCCTGTCTCTACTGCAAATACAAAAATTAGCCGGGTGTGGTGGCGGGTGCCTGTAATCCCAGCTACTCTCGAGGCTGAGGCAGAGAATTGCTTGAACCAGGAGGTGGAGGTTGTAGTGAGCCGAGATTGCACCACTGCACTCTAGCCTGGGTGACAGAATGAGACTCCATCTCAAAAACACGCACACACACACAAAGAGGCTGGGCATGGTGGCTTACACCTGTAATCCCAACATTTGGGAGGCTGAGGTAGGGGGATCACTTGAGGTCCCGAGTTTGAGACCAGCCTGATCAACATGGCAAAACCCCATCTCTACCAAAAAAAAAAAAAAAGAAAAAAAAATATACAAAAATTAACCAGGTGTGGTCGTGGGTACCTGTAACCCCAGCTACTCAGGAGGTTGAGGCAGGAGAATCGCTTGAACCCAGGAGGCGGAGGTTGGGATGGGCGGGAATCATGCCGCTGCACTCCAGCCTGGACTACAGAGTGAAATTCCATCTCAAAAAAAAAAAAGAAAAAACCCAAAGAATAAATCAAGTTTGTTTCATGCATCATCTGTTTGCAAATCTCTACCTTAAAAACTGCTAATGTGCATGGTGATTATATTCTCTAAGGAACAGAAAATTCTGAATTGTCATGTAGCTATTGTACATTTTTCATGAAGTGGTACAAGAGAAATTACTATCGGAAATGATCTCTTCTGTCAAATTCTGTTTTCTATGAAGCGTGTGGTATTTCAGCTATATTTTTTTTTAATGGAGCCAATCAAGGAGGACTCTTTTCATTATTTTTATTATTTATTCTAATGAGAAATATATTCGTGGTTTCAGGTCAGTATGTCAAATGTCTAACTCCCCGTCTCAAAAAGGGAGTTCCCAAATGACTCTTCATACAACCAGATGTGTAACTTGTGGAGACTGTCTGTTTTCTTGGCTTGGTCACTGGACTTGTGGCTTAATACTGTCATGCTTTCTATCTGAGGCAATTGCCATGTATGTTTCAACCAGCTTTTCTCAATTTTGGCACTTTTGACATTTTTGGCCGGATAATTTTTGTTGAGTGGGCTGCCCTGTGCATTGCAGGATGTTTAGCAGCCTCTCTGGCCTCTACCTACTAAATGCCAGCGCACCCTCCCTGCTGTTAAACGACCCAAATGTCTCCAGACCTCCAGACTTAGGCAAATGTTCGCTGGGGAACAAAGTCATCTTTGGTTGAGGAACAAAATGAGCCTATATTTAAGATGGTCTAAACATTTATGAGCTATACTGCAAGCTAAGCAGTTAACTTCATGATTAGAGAAGCTATTTGTAAATTTAAACATCTGACATTTCGAAACATCTATAAAGATAGCTAAACCAGTGTTCTTTGTGAATGGCCAGTGTGTCCTGCCAGTTTCATTTCTTTTTTTTTTTTTTTTCCTATTTTGAGAAGCATGCCCTGCCAGTTTCTGTCTCCAAAGAAATTTCAAGTATTCAGTCCATTTGTTAAATTTCATAAAGTGTAACATGTTAGAAATGAAAAAGAAATTCTACAGTAGTTTTGAGTAGAACTTAGTTTTAAGAAAAATTAACCTCTTTTTAGCTAACAGCAATAAAATGAAGACTGCTGTGTATTTCTGTAGTCTGAAAAATCTCGACTTTCTCAAAGGGAGCGCTACATGATATATTATGTAACTGATATCAGAGGAAAACATGTTCTGGAAATGTAAACCTCCTTATTAGGACTTATATATGCTCAGGGAGGTTGAAAACAGCCTTGATTATGAGGATGCCTCCTTAGCTGGGGATTAGCTATCCACTGGTCCCTTCCAGAAATCAAACTAATTTGTAAAACTCAAGACTGGCTACATAATTTGTGGGGCCCCTTGTTAAAAAAATTAAGAATGTGAACGTGGCGAGCACAGACCATTAAGCCAAGCACAGGGCCCACTGTGACTACACTGGTTTCCCACCCATGAGCTGGCCCTGGAAAAACTCTTTATTCATAGCTAAGAGTAGGGTTGTGACCATAAATGCAAGTCTAAAACATGAAATGTTACTTCTGCCACTAGGCCTGGAGTTTCTGCTTCCTTGATTGTACTTCTGTTTCCAATGAGGAGTCTGCATGTATTTTGTCATCAATGTAATAAAGTTACTAAGAAATCCTCCCATAACTGATTTTTCTTTTGCTAAATTAGTAGCCCAATTTTTGTTCATTAGGGTCGTGGGTACTGGAGCAACCTGTTTATTCAGGCATTCATTGAACTGCTATTTACTGAGCATCTGTTAGATGTCTGGCATCTTTCACTCCAGGGCCACAGCTGTGAACAAGATGGAGGGTCCCTGCCTTGATGAGCCGTCTAATCTGGTGGTTAGATGGAGACGAACACCTAGTCACACAGGCTCAGACTATCACAATCCTGAGTGGTACTTAGGAAAGCACAGGGTATTAGGGGGCATGTCACCTTGAGACCTAACCTGGTTTAGGGGAGAGAGACTGTTAAGGGAAGTTCTGCTTAAAAAACAGTATTTAAAATAAGACCTGGAGGCAGGTGCTGAGGCTCACACCTGTAATCCTAGCACTTTGGGAGGCTGAGATGGGAGGATTCCTAGAGGCCAGGAGTTTGAGACCAGCCGGGTCAACGTAGTGAGACCCCCCCAACCCCCGGTCAACGTAGCAAGACCCCATCTCTTTTTCTGTATGTGTGTAAAAACATTTTTTAAAAATAGGCTGGGTGTGGTGGCTCACGCCTGTAATCCCAGCACTTTGGGAGGCAGAAATGGCCATATCACAAGGTCAGGAGTTGGAGATCAGCCTGCCCAATATAGTGAAACCCTGTCTCTACTAAAAATACAAAAAAATTAGCCGGGCAAGGTGGCACATACCTGTAA